GGATTTATATATTATTATTATTATACAGGTTTTATATATTATTATTATTATTATACAGGATTTATATATTATTATTATTATTATACAGGATTTATATATTATTATACAGGATTTATATATATTATTATTATTATTATACAGGATTTATATATTATTATTATTATACAGGATTTATATATTATTATTATACAGGTTTTATATATTATTATTATTCAGGATTTATATATTATTTATTATACAGGATTTATATATTATTATTATATACAGGATTTATATATTATTTTATTATTATACAGAATTTATATATTATTATTATTATTATACAGGATTTATTTATTTATTATTATTATTATACAGGATTTATATAGCGCCAACAGTTTGCTCAGCGCTTTACAATATAAAGGGAGACAATACAGCAACCATACAGTTCAATACGAGAGGGATAGGAGGGCCCTGATCCTGGGAGCACAAATGGAGCTTTGTTTCGGTGGTATTTGATCGCCTGTCCGGTTTTTATTTTTTGCGCTATAAAAAAAAAGACCAACAATTGTGAAAAAAAAAACCCTATATTTTTTACTTTTTTGCTATTAAACGTCCAGTAAAAAAATGTAAACACATTTCATCATAAATTTAGGCAAATAGTATTCTGCAACATATCTTTGCTAAAAAAAAAAATATCACAATACCTGTAAATTGGTCTACATGCAAATTATAGCGTTTACAAATGGCTGTATAGATACTGGCATTTAAAAAAAAAAAAATTTTATACTAGTAAAGGCGGTGATCAGCGACTTATAGTGGGACTGCGGTGGACATTTTGACACTGGGGAGGAACTAACTGCCACTGACATCCCCAGTGACACCAATACAGTGATCAGGGTGAATAAAAACCACTGACACTGTACTAATGGCACTGGGCAGCAAGGGGTTAACACCTGGGGTGATCAAAGGGTTAACTGTGTGTTTCACTAGGGAGACATGCTGTGCAGAGAAGTACACAGCAGCATGTCCTTGCTGGCAGGAGAGAGACTTGTGGTGTTTACACACCGGTCTCTCCCCTGTCACTGTTTCATGGCGATCACTGGGTGCTGGCGAGGAATCTCTGTCCAGAAACCGGTGATCGACATCTGTAGCCGCCAATGGCGGCGCGGGTAGGGCGGCGTGCGCACGTGCCCGCTACCCGGAAATGCAGGTCGCGTATATAAACGTGATTTTGTGCAGCCCTTCCGCCCTGTAGCAGTATTTCTGCTATAGAGCGGTGGGGAAGCAGTTTAAAGGCAGATTGGTTAAAACCCCCCCCAAACACATTTTTAATGAAAGCAGAGACCGTGGAGAATAAAACAGCGGTTGTTCCAATTTTTTACATCACGTGATATTGGTGCAATGGTTTATCAAGTGCAAATTTTCAGTAAAAAAAAAAAATTGTTTTACGGCGCACCAAAACAATATATTGCCTAATTTTTGGTAAAATTTAAAAGATGAGGTTGCACCGAGTAAATAGATACCAAACATGTCAAGTCTGAAAATTGCATGCGCTCGCGGAAATGGTGACCAGCTTGCAAATTTTCTATAGGCGATGCTTTAACCTGGAGCCCGTTTTGTGTTTTTAGCATGTTTGAAAAAAAAATATTTTAGGCCTGTAGATTAGTTAAAACCGCCAAACATGATGTGTTTTCAGAAATCAGACACCTTGGAGAATAAAATAGTGGTCATTTCGATGTCCCATGATATTAAACGATTTGTGAAATGCAGAATTTCATTAACCCCTTCCCGCCGGCGCCTCCCGGCCCTTTAAGAGTTTCAGGAGGCGGGGGGTTTAGGGATCATGTGACCGCCGTGACGCGTCATCACGGCGGTCACATGATCGCGAAAGGTCCCGATCAAAAGAGCAGACCGGGACCTTTCTGTGAGTACCGGACATGTGTGCTGGGAGCGCGCAGGGTGCGTGCTCTCAGCACATATGTTTTTTGTTAATTGCACACAAATGTGCGGCCGCTTGGCGTCTAGGCCTAGACGCTGGGAGGCCTCACATTTGTGTGCGGCCGGCATGAAGAGGTTAAAATACACAACCAAAGCAGGGCTCAACAAATCCCAGGCGCCAGGTCACAATAGCGAATAAAAATCCTATTGTCCTGGGTGCCTGGGATTTTGTCAGACATCCACCTCCCACTTGCCATTCGTGCTGCAGCCATCTTTCATGCAGTTCTGGGAGGGCGTCTATTGATGTCCTCCCAGAACCTCGCACACCCGTGCCACATACCCCCTAGTCTATGCATCAGGCACGCTCTATGATCGCAGCTGATAACAGATTGAGGTAAAGGATCAATCACTGCGGCCCTTTACCATGTGATCAGCTATGTCAAATCCCAGCTGTGACAACGTAAGAAAAGGAAAGATAACTGCCTATCCTGTGACGAGATATTTACATTGATAATCAAGGCACTGATCATCACTGCAGCATATCAACGCCCATCAATGCTGCCTTATCAGTGCCGCTGTCTGTGCCCATCAGTGCAGCATATCAGTGTCCGTCAATGCCGCCTTATCAGGGCATCCTCATCAGTGCCTATTAATCCCTATTAGTGCTGCCTTATCAATGCAGCCTCATTGGTGTCGCTGTCTGTGCCCGTCAGTGCAAACTTATCAGTGCAGCATATCAGTGTCCATCAATGCTGCCTTATCAGGGCATCCTCATCATTGCCCATCAATCGCTATCAGTGCTGCCTTACAGTGCCCATCAATGCTGCCTTATCAGTACAGCCTCATCGGTGCCGCTATCTGTGCCCATCAGTGCCAACTTATCACTGCATCATATCAGTGTCCATCAATGCCTTATCAGTGCAGCCTCATCACCACACATCGGCAACGAAGAAAAATTACTTATTAGCAAACTTTTATATCAGAAACAAAGAAAAAGAGTTTTTGGGGTTTTTTTCCCAAAAAAATGTTCAGCCTTTTTTTTGTTTGTTTAGCAAAAAATAAACACCAGTGATGATGAAATACCACAAAAAGAAAGCTCTATTTGTGTGAAAAAAATTAAAATAATTTCATATGGGTACAGCGTTGCATGACCGCGTAATTGTCATTGAAAGTATGACCGCGCTGAAAACTGGCCTGGGCAGTAAGGGGGTGAAAGTGCCCTGTAGGCAAGTGGTTAGAAAAAACTGGCTCCTAAATTTTTTTTATTTTTTTTTATTATTTTTTTTTTAGCCGGCTTCTAGGTGCAGAACAAATTTGTCAAGCCCTGCGCTAATTTTCGAACACACAAAACACAATTTATTATCAAATTTTTATGGTACAATATAAAACATGAGGTTGTGCTGAGTAAGTAGATACCCAACGTGTGAAACCTTGACATTGCGAGCACCTGTGAAACGGCAAAAACTTCAGTACCCTATATTTTCTGTAGTTGACGCTTTAACACTTTTGCTGCCAGAGCTGTTTTTGCATTTTTGTGCCGTGTGTTAAAAGACACGTTTTAGGCCCCTATTATTATTATACAGTATTTATAAAGCGCCAACAGTTTGCTCAGCGCTGTACATTAAAATGGGAGACAGTACAATAACACAATACAATGCGATACACGAGGGGTTCGAGGGCCCTGCTTCTTGAAGTTTACAATCTAGGAGGGAGGGGATGGTGGTACAGGAGGAAATGGCTGTGGGGGATGGAGTGGTAGGAAGAGTGGAGGAGGGCGGCAATTAGCAGGGGGTGGGCTTCCCTGAAGAGGTGGGTTTTCAGGGTGCGCCTAAAGGAGAGGAGAGTAGGTGATAGTCTGATGGATTGGGGTAGGGAGTTCCAGAGGATGGGTGACACCCTGGAGAAGTCCTGGAGGTGGGCATGGGAGGAGGAGACCAGGGAACTAGAGAGGAGGTGGTCTTGTGAGGAGCGGAGTGTGCGTGTTGGGTGGTACTTGGATATTAGGTCAGTGATGTAGTTCGGGGCAGTACGGTGGACAGCTTTGTACGTCAGCGTTAGGATTTTGAATTTGATCCGTTGGGCAATCGGAAGCCAGTGGAGGGATTGGCAGAAAACATATTCAGTGGGTAAAACAAGTATTGTACACGTCAACCATTTTTCTCAGTAAATATATTTCTAAAGGTGCTATTCACATAAAATTTTCACATGTCGGTAACAACCCGTGCAATCCATACAGACAAAGAAACCAAAATAAATAAATTCAGAAATTAAGTTATGTGCAATAAAATTGAATGACACAGGGAAAAAGTATTGAACACACTGAAACGTATCTAATACTTCATACAAAATGCTTTGTTGGCAATGATGGCTTGAAGACGCCTCCTGTATGGAGAAACTAGTTGCATGCATTGTTTGGTGTGATTTTGGCCCATTCTTCCACACAGTCTTCAAATATTGAAGGTTCCGTGGACCTCTTCTATAAACTCTGATCTTTAGTTCTTTTCATAGATTTTTTTTTTTTTTTTTGTATTGGTTTCAAGTCAGGTGATTGGCTGGGTCATTCTAGCATCTTTATTTTCTTTATTTGAAACCAATTGAGAGTTTCCTTGGCTTTGTAAAAGAATAGAGTAATAGAATAGAAAATAAAAGAATAGAATATAGCTGTCTTCCGAAATTCAAATTTCAGATAGAAGAGAACCAGCTATTCTTCACAAATAATTTAGCTCGATGTGATATTTTCAATTCAAATACTTCAAATCCATTGGAAAAGTTTGAATCCGGTTGAAAACGAATAAATTAAACCAAAATAAACTAATTTTGTTACGAATGCAGTTGAACAAAATGAGTAACTTAAACCTTCCCGACCTCCCTATATACACTGGAATTTGTATTAACCATTATTTATTTATTTATTTTTAATACTAGTACTGGCACTGATCAGCGACTTATAGTGGGTCTGTGATAGTGCGGTGGGCAATCAAACACCAACTGACACTGGGTAGGAACTGATTAGCTGACACTGGCATCACCAGTGACCTTAATCTCCCTGGCGGTATTCCCGAGTGTAGCTCGGGGAAAAGTTTCAGTACCAAAAGCGGTAACCCCGAGCTACACTCGGGCTTACCATGCGGCGTTGCTCTGGGATTCCCTGCAGCACTTACCTTGTCCTTCGCTCCCGCGATGCGTCCCCTGCAGCGTCCCCGGCCATCTCCAGCCGATGCCGGCATCCGGCTTCCGTGTTCCGGTCCCTGCAAGCGTTGGGATGTACGGGGGACGGAACCGGCGGCAAATTTAAAAAGTCATTTTCTAATAAACTAAAATCACATAGTATTCTATTCCTGTATCAAACCATTTCACATACATTTTGTCCCGAGTGCTTTGTCCGCCGCCCTGCCTGCATTTTTACTGTTCTTTCTGCCTGGAAACTGAGAAACGTCCATGGCGTCCAAAAAGCGTCCCTTTAGGTCAGACGCGGTTTTAGACCGGCTAGAGAACAGCGATAGTAAATCAGAACCACTTGCAGAATTGAGTGATAATGATTCGTGGGGGAAATTCGCCATCAGACACTGAAAACGATTCTGCGACTTTGCTCAGCGATGTGCGAACTTGGCGCTATATTTCACATTTCAGTGTTTTTGGTTTGATTATATTATTATTACTTTTTATGATTATTTATTAAATTATAATTTATGATTTTGTGTTTCAAGTTTTATCATACCCGGGATGTTTACTAGACTCTTGTTCGGACAGATTTCAGTGAGTTATTCCTAAGAATTACGGGCCTACAATAAAAAAAAACTACATATTTCCATGCAAAAAAATGTACCGCTTTCAGCACAGAAATATGGACATAATCAGACCGCTAGGGAGGTTAAGACAGTGATCAGTGCTAATAATACACACTGTCACTGTACTAAAGACACTGGTTGGGAAGGGGTTAACATCTCAGCTTATCAAGGGGTCAAATGTGTGCCTAGCAATGTGTAAAATGTGGTGCTATTTAGCAGTAGATCCTTGTTTCTCATCCCTGCTTTGCAGGGAGAAGAAACAGATCGTTCCTTCCCCGTAGAGAGCCCTGTGTTGATTGTCATGAATCATTGGTTGGGACCTAAATCCCGCTGTGTGCAATCCCAGTGGGAATCGGTGACCGGGGGGTGCAAGTGCACATCCTGTACCTGGAAGAAGCTAGTGACTCACAGTTGTGTTGCTGTTCCTGGCAGGGGTAGGCAACCTGTGGCTCTCCAGCTGTTGCAGGACTGAAAGTTCCATCATGCCTCTGCAAGTCATAGCTGTAACTGTCAGTTTTGTAATGTTGCAATGCCTCATGGGAAATTAGTTCCACAACAGCTAGAGAGCTGCAGGTTGCCTACCCTGCTGTATGGGATGCTGAGTACATGGCAGGCGGTTGGTCTGAATTCGGGGATAGGCAAATATTGTCTACATTCATCATGTGTACTCTTCTTCAACCTCTGAGAGCTTTATTTCTTATAGATCTGCGCAGTAATCCAGCGTGACACTTTCTTCCTGTAATAAAGACCGCTCACTGCTGTGCTCTCTCCTTGTGCACGGGGACTGGTCTTGTGTCTCAGCTGTCAGAATGCAATTATTATTATTATAATACAGTATTTATAAAGCGCCAATAGTTTGCTCAGCGCTGAGGGGGACAGAACATGTGACAGAACAATACCAATACAATGCAAAACATGAGGGGATTGAGGGCCCTGCTCTTTCGAGCTTACAATCTAGGAGGGAGGAGATGGTGGCACAGGAGGAGAAAGCTGTGGGGGATGGGGGTAGGTAGGAGTGGAGGAGGTCGGCAAGTTAGCAGGGGGTGGGGTAGGCTTCCCTGAAGAGGTGGGTTTTCAGGGTGCGCCTAAAGGAGAGGAGAGTAGGTGATAATCTGATGGGTTGGGGCAGGGAGTTCCAGAGGATGGGTGACACCCTGGAGAAGTCCTGGAGGCGGGTATGGGAGGAGGAGACCAGGGAACTAGAGAGAAGGAGGAGAGAAGGAGGTCTTGTGAGGAGCGGAGTGTGCGTGATGGGTGGTACTTGGATATTAGGTCAGTGATGTAGTTCGGGGCAGTACGGTGGACAGCTTTGTACGTCAGTGTTAGGATTTTGAATTTGATCCGTTGGGCAATCGGAAGCCAGTGGAGGGATTGGCAGAGGGGGGTGGTGGAAACGGAGCGGTTGGAAAGGTGAATGAGTCTGCAATGATCACTGCTGCCAGCTATAGCTAGTAGCAGTGATTATACAAAAAAACAAAACTGAGAGGTTGGTAGTACTGAAGCCGATTTGATCGATTTACTTCAGTACAACCAGCCTGCCCATAGATGGATCGAAATTCATTCAGTTTCTGAGATTTGATCCATTTATGGCTGGCTTTAGTGTGGTTTCCATTGAGTGCAGTTTCAGACATTCTGTGCAGGAAGTCTTTCACTGTGTGGCTTGTTATGTTTGCCATTGAGGTGTCAACCATTGGATTTGCAAATGAAAAAGGAACAGCAGTTTTGCATTGCAGATTTTAGAATCCTAAAAACCGAGGTCTGTATTTTCCAGTTCAGCACTCCTCCTAAATACATTTACTATTGCAGTCTATTTTAAAGCGATATTAAACCCAAAGGCAAACATTTTATTATATTGCAGCTTACCAATTCTTAGATGTGGCAGCTGCTTTTTTTTTTTTTTTTTTTTTTTTTTTTTTTTTTATGTTTTATCCTGGTGATCTGGCCAGTAAGTCTGTTGTTTTTCAATAGAACAAGCTCTCCTGCAAAAGCAGGGATGAGACAAACCATTTACCACTGTCAGAGGTGCTCACAATGATCAACTTTTATTTATTCATGGAAATCCTTTATCCCAAAAGGGAAAAATATTTTCTGTAACGGATTATAAAGTATTAGCTGGAGTTTGGCTTCAGTGTGTTAGTAGTTCTAAATTTGTTAATACATGTAACATGCCCCTCCTCTCAGACTGACAGTGCTGCTGTCCGCTGTGCCCCCTGTGCTCCTTCATCCAGAGTTGTTGGGCACTCTAATACGGGAGGTGTGTTACTGGCCAGATCACCAGGTGAAAAGAGAGGAAAAAAAAGCCTAAAAGAAAACTAATGCAGCCGCTACATCTAATGATTGGTAAGCTGCAATATATTGTATTTTTGTTTTTGGGTTTAATAACACTTTACGTTGTTCATGTAACAAATCCAATCCCTGCCCAAATCTTGTAGACTTCACACAACATCTCCAAGATACGCCCGTTCTTAACCTCTGAAACCACTAAGCAACTTTTTCCCTCCCTGGTTATCTCTCGCCTTGACTATTGTAACTCCCTCCTCATTGGCCGACCTCATCACAGGCTATCCCCTCTTCAGTCTATCATGAATGCTGCTGCCAGACTCATCCACCTTACTAACCGTTCTGTATCTGCCATCCCCTCTCTGCCAATCCCTCAGTCCTCCACTGGCCTCCACTCAGTGTCCTCCACCCTGCTCTGCCAATCCCTCCACTCAGTGTCCTCCACCCCTCTCTGCCAATCCCTCCACTCAGTGTCCTCCAATCTCAGTGTCCTCCACCCCCCTCTGCCAATCCCTCCACTGACCTCCACTCAGTGTCCTCCACCCCTCTCTGCCAATCCCTCCACTGGCTTCCCATTCCCCAACGGATAAAATTCAAAACATTAACAATAACGAATAAAGCCATTTATAACTCTGCCCCAAATTACATCACCAAACTTGTCTCCAAATATCACCCAAACCGTCCTCTACGCTTCTCCCATGACCTCCTGCTCTCTAGCTCTCTTGTCTCTGCCTCCCATGCTCATCTCCAGGACTTCTCCAAAGCCTCCCCCATCCTTTGGAACTCTCTACCCCAATCTATCAGACTATCGCCTGCTCTGCCCACTTTTAGGCTATCTCTTCAAGGAAGCCTATCCTGCCTTCAACTAATACCTGAATCTTCTATTCTTCCAACCAGTCCATCCCCCACAGTTATTACCTTTTTGTACCACCAGCCCCTCTCTCTTAGATTGTAAGCTCCCAGGATCAGGGCCCTCCTGTCCCTCTTGTATTGAACTGTATTGTTGCTGTATTGTCTCCCGTTATATTGTAAAGCGCTGTTGGCGCGATATAAATCCTGTATAATAATAATGATGATGTACCGGTTTTCACTGTAAATGCAATTTTAATTGTTGGCCACTAGATGGTGCTGTTTACAGGCAGCAAGTTCTTGTTACTTTGTTACATAATGGTCAAGATGCCATTTAGTTGCTTCTCAGATAATAGATTGGCTGATGGTCGATTCATTCATCATTAACTTTTTTTATTATTGTTATTATTTATTCAGGATTTATAGAGCGCCAACAGTTTGCATTGCACTTTACAATATAAAGGGAGACAGTACAGTTACAATCAGGGGCGGACTGACCATTTAGAAACTCGGGCACTGCCCGAGGGCCCGGGGTCAGTAGGGGGCCCCATGAGATACCCTGGTACATTTTTCATAGGCTTTTTTGAGTTTGGGCAAGGACACAGGGGCCCCATGATCCCCTTTTGCCCGGGGGCCCCATGAGTTGTCAGTCCGCCCCTGGTTACAATACAACAAAAAAGAAGAGGATTAAAAGGGCCCTGCTCATAAGAGCTTACAATATTACTGAATATTTTTGATAGAACAAGGGAGGTTTATAATCCTTTTTTTTTTTTTTTTTTTGCCATCTCTGCCCCAATGGGGGAGATTTCCCTTCACTTCTTGTCCCATAGCTAAAACACGAAGTGAGAAGAAATATCTCCAAACTGAGGGAATCTCTGGTTAGTGTCCCCATTGAAAAAATTCCCCTCTATTCCTGTTCTGGTGACAACTCAAAATGTGGGATTTTCTTTCACTTTTGGATAAGAATGGTAAACCAGACGACTGGGGTGGATCTCCCTAAAGGGAGCACAGACAGCAGTGAAAACTGACAGGGGTTCTAATCCCGCTCCACTCTATCCAAAACTAAAAAAAAAAAAAAAAAAAAGAGAGGACCTGAGATGTTGAGGATATGGAGCCAGCATTCCATACTGCTGTAGCCAGTATGGCTCCCATATACACAAAAGCAATCAATCAGGAGGTGGTTTGCTCATATTTCCGCAGCACACCATTGGCTGTCCAGTGATGTTAAAACAAGGCTTTAGGTCAGTGGTTCTCAACCTTCCTAATGCCGCGACCCTTTAATACAGTTCCTCATGTTGTGGTGACCCCCAACCATAAAATTATTTACCCAGTAATTATAATTCATGAGTGTCGTTTTACCTCCAATACTGCTGCTTTTTCAACACAGTAGCTGCTCTTCACACATCGGAAATAAGTGTTTTCTGATGGTCTTAGGGGACCCCTGTGAAAGGGTCATTTGACCCCCAAAGGGGTCGCGACCCTCAGGTTGAGAACCACTGC